TTTACACATACTTCCTTTGCGTCTCTTCCATTTGTTGAGAAGAGGTTTGTTTCAATAACTCCAGGACCAGAGTAAGTAGACATCATTAACAATTAAAATATTTAAAACATTATTTACAAAACTTAACTGTTAGTGACATCAATCAAAGTATTCTATTCTATTCAAATTCTCACAGTTTTCAAACGACACTTTACATTAAAACTATTAGAACCACGATGAATAAAAATAGTAACTAATAACAGAAATTCAACTGATTATAAATTAAGATATCCTATTGGTTGTTTTTTATAGAAAAGTTAAGAGATAAATATGTAGTATTATATGTGAAGCCGAGAGCGGTCTAAGAATTATACACTTTGGCAGGGTAGGAGTCATCTTCATCTAAGACAGGTTGATTTTTAGCCGTGACATGGCGATTCATAGAATAACTACAAGCTGTTTTCAAGTTTATCAAGTACAAACTTTTAACTCATAGCTACGTCACCTCTTGACCGATTTAAGATATAATTACAGTTTTAGACACGGGAGGACAAACCATTTCGATTGATGTATTTAATGATGCCCAATGTCTCATAGATTAATTTACTCTAATAATGCCTTAAATAAGTTCAGGTGCCGCGGCTATTGAAGATTCCCTTCTGTTTAACTTTTGGAACGAGATGTCTTTATATGTGGTAAATGCAGTGAATTAAAGAGGGTTAAACAAAAGGCTTGATAAGTATTTGAGTGATAAAGGCTGGCTTTGAAATGTTTTAGTTATACCTTAATCCAATGGATAGGGTGACTTATACGAACGAAAAGTTTACTTATCCTTGATACACACACACACACACACACACACACACACAATATATATATATATATAAACGTAGATATATTCAGTCAGACATAGTATTCTCAGGTGTGACAATGGATGATGTTGACTACTTGCCTCCCCCTAGTTTGTATGTAGCTTTACGTAAAATTATAAACAAATACATTTATTGCAATATTACTGCTTAATAATTTTGTCTTAAGTTTACATATTTCTCAAAGTTAAAGATCGTTGTCAAAAATATAAAGTGTATTTTTATAAGGAACTGGAATTAACAACTTGAACAGTACCACATGCAAGACATAGGCTTAACAGTTTGGTATAATTCCTAATTTTGTACTACTGACCAGATGAAAGTCATGTAACCAGTAGAGCACGATATATCAAAAGATTTTTCCAAATCTTTGATCTCAAAATCAGTTTGTATTCCACTACATGTTAAGCAGCATTATGTCTCGAACCCCAGACCCTTCCAAATCCACACTCTGCCTATGTATTCGTGCAAACAAATCTTTTTAACTGATATACTATCACGTTGATAATTAAAATTTCTGTACAATTAGGATTAAGCTAATCTAAAATTTGTGGAGTTCCATCAAATACGTTAATTTGAACTTTGGTAGATTTAACAGGAAATAAGTAACACGGATTAATTACACTGGTCTGCGAATTTAAACTTCAGTAAAGTTTCCCTTAAATCAGCTACTCAGATTTCGAAAAAAAATTTTTCTGGTATATAAGGATTTTTTACAAATATGAAACAAAAAATCCTTACTTAGATCAGATTATTATTTCGTTTAACACAATGAACATTTTTTACTATTATATTTGTTAACAACAATACAAAGAAACTGAAGAAATTGGAAGAACATTGATGTCAAACGAACATGAATCCTCATTCATCCTGATTATTTTTTGTGAAATCTACATCTTTTAGTCTCCAAACTACATGTTGTGGTCTTTCCTTTATGTACTGCGTTATGACCTTTTGTGAAAAATCTGTACGTGGTGGAGGAACTTGGGAATCATTTTCGGATTCAGCTAATTCAGGAATTAGTGTAGAATATGTAAAAATTTCAAGACAATAAAGCCATCGCAGGCCTGTGTAATTTTTATTTTCCAGCTCTATCAAACTTTCGAAATAGCTCAAAATTCTCTCTGATCAACTGTCTTTCTATAAAATATACATCAGAACAGAGTTACATTCTTTTACAATTCTTTCCCAAACGGCTAGTCCCTCTAGCTGTCCATAATTCTGTATTAGTCAACAGTACCCACCGCCAACTCTTGGATAACTCATGTATAACCATAATATTTGATACTGGAACAAAGTCCTAAATTAAAGTATATTAAAAATGTACAACCAAACCTATTTTATAAATATAGATTATAAAGAAATAAAAAATATGCTTACTTTACTGAGTTCACTCGGACTTGTTTGGGAGCAAGATCTGAAAAAATACGAATTATTTAAGAACAGTTGAATGCCTGATAATTATTTTTCTCTGGTTAACGAAATATTATTTTCAAAATAAATGTTACAATTAATTTATTTAATTTAATGTTTTCATGAAACCATCATAGAAAACCAATTTAGTTTTTAATATCAACAGCAAAAGGCATTAAGTGTGCGTAATTACTTCAAAACAGAAAATAGGTCAAAGAAGTGTACATCTTGATTATTTTAAAGAATGTTGATCCTAGTGATTTGGTAAAGACACCTTGTTAACAAATAATAATTAACCTAGGTAATGTTTGTAGTGGTAATACAGTGTAGTGACATTACATAACATTACACATGTAAACTTTATTTAGAGTAAGCTGCAGTTTCACTTGTAATACAATGTAGTGACATTACACTGGTATATTTATAATGGCGGAAGGTTACTACATTGTAACGGATAAAACTGTTCACTAATACATTCAGGGAGGTATCAATTCAGTTTTGACAGTTTTAAGTTGAGTTGTGAAGATTAACAGTAACATTAATAATTGAAGTTCGAGAACTTGCGTATTCCAGTAATACAATAAAATGTACCGAATAAAATATGTTAAGAGGAAGCATTTAATAATATTGAAATGTGTTGTTTTTTCTATGACGTCAGTTCGTTTAATTTCAGACTTACTTTTTTAAATGAAGAAAAATAAAATTTTGTATTGTGAACTCCTTCTGACGATAGTTTTAGAAATTGTCTTTCATTAATCCAACAATTGAAAGCGATATGTTAGGTTTTATTTCGATAAACTTGTATCAATATGAACTTGTAGGAAGGATTCTACAGACCAGTGAATGATGCAACAGGGGGCGCTGTATAAAACTTAATTATTCAGATAAGGGAAAGTAAAATTTACAATGAAAATAAACAAATACAAGTTATCTGTAATAATAACTATTAACTAATGAACAGTCTTAGCTTGTGTTGTTTTTAATTATAAAAATATGTTTGGTTCTCTGGCCTTCATACTTTTATTAATAAACTCACCTAATGCCACACTTCTGGTAAACTGGTCTATGGCACCTTTCGATATGGTATAGGAAAGATGTGTGGCAGACTAGAAAAATTCGACACAATTGTTTTGTTAGAAAGTACATCTACAAGATGAAATGTGAATTACTGTTATATTCAGAAAAACGAGGTCATGTCAACATTTGTTTCTAGAGACCTGAATAAAATTAAACATCTAAAAAAAGCTTTGAATTAAGTTTTAATTATTTCCATGACATATAGGATTTAGAGCTGGGCGATTAATGTTACTTGCTAATCGATTAATCAACGGGTTCATTCATGGATTAGTACACCACGCCCTTTATTATCCATACAAGCAATAAAAAATAAAAATATGCTACCGTCTTAACTTTTCCTAAAGTTTTATGAACATTTCCTACTTGGTGGATCAATAAACTAAACACCATAACATGATCGGTATTGTTTATTATTCAATAATACAGTAATCTCACACTGATCTTCTCTTGTTTGTTATTCAACAATTCAGTTATCTTACACTGATCTTCTCTTGTTTTTATTCAAAAATTTAACAATCTCACACTCATCTCCTCTTGTTTGTTTTTCAACAATGCAGTAATCTCACACTGATCTTCTCTTGTTTGTTATTCAACAATTCAGTAATCTCACACTGATCTTGTTTGTTTCTCAACAATGCAGTAATCTTACACTGATCTTCTCTTGTTTGTTTACAACAATACAGTAATCTTACACTGATCTTGTTTGTTTTTCAACAATTCAGTAATCTCACACTACTCTTCTCTTGTTTTTATTCAACAATTTAATAATCTTACACTGATCTTCTTTTGTTTGTTTTTCAACAATGCAGTAATCTCACACTGATCTTGTTGTTTGTTTACAACAATACAGTAATCTCACACTGATCTTCTCTTGTTTGTTTTTCAACAATTCAGTAATCTCACACTGATCTTCTCTTGTTTTTATTCAACAATTCAGTAATCTCACACTGATCTTGTTTGTTTCTCAACAATGCAGTAATCTTACACTGATCTTCTCCTGTTTGTTTACAACAATACAGTAATCTTACACTGATCTTGTTTGTTTTTCAACAATTCAGTAATCTCACACTACTCTTCTCTTGTTTTTATTCAACAATTTAATAATCTTATTACTGCATTGTTGAAAAACAAACAAGAGAAGATCAGTGTATCACACTGATATTGTTGTTTGTTTTCAACAATGCAGTAATCTCACACTGATCTTGTTGTTTTTTCAACAATGCAGTAATCCCACACTGTTCTTCTCTTGTTTGTTTTTCAACAATTCAGTAATCTCACACTGATCTTCTGTTGTTTATTTTAGAACAAAGCCATAATGGGTTATCTGATGTGCCCACATCGGGGAATCGAACCCAGGATTTCAGCATTGTAAGTCCGTAAACTTACCGCTGTCCCATTAGTGGGTGCTCATCTTCTATGAGTGAATTATTTGGTAAATAAATAATGGAAACATGTTTTGCTCTCACGATAAAGGTAATAATGTCTTTATTTAATACATACCACGATTATAATTAAATTAATTACGTAGCCAGTTAGACTATTTATGCACGTTGTTTGAATGGGATAAACGATCTTCAATAAAGATTTGAGTCAGAATGCAATCACCATAAACAGTAAACTTATCTGTTTTCATCACAATTATATTAAATTTGGTAAAAATCATGTTTACATATACTGCAACTACACAAAATCGTGGTATACCTATTAAACAATAAAAACGCCGTATTTAAACAACCAATCATCAACAAAATATCTTTATCAAGCCTTGAGCAATCTACAGTCACATGACTTCTTTGTTACGTATATTCTTGGTATAAGTAAACTACTTGAACCTTATGATGATAAAACCTCCCAACACTGTACATTTGTTACTGTGATGAATTTTAATAGAATTGTCTTTGTTACCCATTAAACCCGTCTTTAACACTGTATAAGTCTATCTACCTTATCTCAAGTGATCTGATGTCTTCTCATTTAAGACAATTTCTGTAGTCTTCAAACACATATAATTTAACACAAAATACTCTCATAATTCACAACAAATAGAGCATTTATAAAAACTATAAAAGAAACTCTTAAGTCTATCTGTTAATACGCGATAGTCTAATTCTTGCTCTATTTAATCATATTTAAACTTCCATTATAGGTGTTTTTAAGCTTTATTATTAAAAAGTGATCAAACCACTTGATGTTGCAACATAAGGTTTCAATAAAGTCTGTACAAAAACTGGGGAAACGCTTGAAAATCAAGAAATGGATAAATGGTGATAGGTTCTTATCAAAATTAGTTATTGTTCGTTTTAAAGACCACTGGTCCTTAAACAACTGATTTTTTCATGGGTATGAAGGGTGATGGGTCACTTCTGTGCTTTAGTGAGTAGTAAGTTGGGTTAAATAAATAGCAAGGATCAGTGGCAAGTCAAGAAAAGTTGTAATGAGTCGAAAAACGGGATTATCGAGTTAGTATTCTTGTTTTGTTATCATATACCAAGATGTCAACAGAACAGAAGACATTTCTAACTCTTCTGTCGGGTATTTCTTCGATTCTATACAGTAACTGTAATATCATCCATCACATCTCTTGTGTTATGCCTGTTGGTCTTCATCTCAGTACAAACTGTGGCTATATCTATCCAATGGTTACACTAGATTAATCTTGCTTGGATGTGTTTACAATACTTACTCCCTTTATTCCGACAATGCTCGAAACGTTGACAATGGAACCTTTACTTTCAATCAGGTGAGGAACAGCTAGCATCGTCAAATGATAGACAGAACTTGGAAAACATAAAATAAAACAATTGAGAACATTTTTAAAAATGAACAATTATAGCAATAGATGGCGCCACTAATAAAACTGTGCGCGGAATTAAATTATAAATTTTTGCAAAAAATACAAAAACAGAGTTGGATCCTTATACCTACAGAACATTGTCACTGGCTTCTGCTAAATAATTGTTCATACTTTATTTGTTATATCTCATTTATTAATTCTATATTTCATTTTAGGACGATTTAACGAGAAATAAAAAAACAAAAGTTATTTTTAGATATATATATATTATTCGTTTACAGTCCTTTTCTTATTTATCTACCATATGTTTAAAGTGTTTTTCTCTTTACTCTTACTATATGTAAACTTACTTACCGAACATTGGTTTTCCACAGTAAATCTAGTGTCTCCAAAGAACCATTTTGAGCAGATTCCTCTATTAATATACCAGCATTGTTAACCTGAAGATAAACAACATTTTCAATCTTCCTGCTCTCCTCTGACATTACTTTTAAGTTGTAATTTTCGAATTCGAAATAGGAGGCGTGTAAAAATATTGTTTGTATTACAAATGTTAAGTCATTTTTATTTCTAATGCATCTCCAGCTGTTGGCGTATAAATTGTAATTCTTAATGTTGACTGAGTTTGTTACCAAGCCACACTCGTTATGACGATCTCTTCACGTAAAAGAGGCTCTTCCCTTTTCTATTATATATTCATTTAATAATTTTAGTTAGTGAGGGACGTGTTCTTCCCTTTTCTGATAATTTTTACAAGAATAAAACTTGTCGGCCCTTTTCTTCTGTTTTATATCGACTTAATAAATTCCATATATAATATAAATTCTTTTACACTATATATACTCCCCAGATGTACTGACAGTAAACATGATTGCTTATAATATAAAATCCTCGGGGTGGGCTCATGTTGTATAGCCCATTCAGTAGCTTTACGTTAAACTGACTTTTTTCTCTCTTCTTATATAACATCCCTTTTTTTTCTTTGTTTTTAAGAATTTCTTCTGGTGATGAGGAGTATTTTATTTGATGACTGGTGTGGGTGTTTATTAAGGTTGTTTGACATAAAGTTGTTTAATAAGTGTATGGGACAGGGAGGATTAAATTTATGGGACACGGTTCCTCTCTGCCTCATGAAGAAAACTGTATAATAAGACATCAAAAAGATGATGACCATCAACTGAGTAGAAATGTTTTATTTAAAAATGGTTCAAGTCTCGCTCTTTTACTGGGAGATTAGGTGTTTGGTTGGGTTCTCAAACTCTTTAATGGACTTTGTAGGAATATGACTTCTGAGAAAACATAAAGAAAATATACAATACAAAAATAGTAATATATGTTCCAGACGGTTCTGCTATGATTAGTGTCTGGCGAAAAGCTTCAGCAGATATTTCTTTTGCAACATCTAAACCAACAATTGGTCCAGTTATTAACGCTATTTTCAAGTTTTGAACAACTCGACTTTCAAGATCTACGTATCCACATGGGTCGATGTTTCCATTTATCAACGTTATATTCTAAGATCTGTGCAAGAACTCAGCTAACAGATGTTTCCAAATATCGAAGCTACCTTCAAGTACTATATTAGTATAGACAAAATGTAATAAATTATTTTATTCTAATAAACAACAAGCTCACCAGAATATCCAGTCTTCCATAGGTCTCAATTGTTGACATCATAATTCGCTCAATATCGGATTCTATGGTTAAATCACCGATAATACACAAAGGCTGAAACAATAAAAATGTTAGCTTTGCAATTTGTTTTAAAATATGTTAAAAATACTAAGTCATGAACATCACAGTAAATCTGTATAGAAAAGGATTATTAGTTGTTATATTGTTTCAAAACTTTCAATTCTCCTCCGTGGTTCACCAGTAATCTAGTGCGCTCGTAATACACTAATTCAGAGTTCGATACCTGCGGTTGGTATAAAGATAGCTCGTCACGTGAATGATATTTCTTTTAAGACACTAACTTTAACCCTCGGTGGGATAGCGGTATGCCTACAGATCTACAACTCTAAAATCCGGGGTTTGATTTCCCGCATCGAACACGAAAAAATAGCCCAACGTGACTTTACTCTAAAAACAAACAAACAAACAATGCCTTTAACAAATGTAATAGAGATGCCAGAGAAATATTATGTGAACGAGATAAATTAATGAAAGTAAACATAACATGGCACAAA